CGCGGGAGCGCGAGTCTGTGTGCGCGGCGCGCTGGCTCCGCTCGGGTTCGTCACGTACGTCTCGGCTGGCAGGGGGCGAGGGAGTCCTGGCCGCCCAGACACCGGTGACTAAGCACTGATTGTGCTCCTGCCTCGGACCGCTCAGTGCACCCGGCGGGGCTTGGTGTCCCTCGCCTTCCCCGACCCCTCCGGCCATCGCTGCCTACTGCCCAGTCTTCTCTCGAGAAAATGAAAGCTGGTCCAACCCTCCTCCCTCGCCCCAGCTGCTTTCTAAACGCGATCCTCTGGGGTTCTGGTCTGCTGCGGAGAGGAGGCAGACGTCTTGTAGATGTGATCGTGTTTGCGCCTTTGAGGTCGGCTCCGGAGTGCAGAGGAGTTGGGACCAGCGCGCCGCGTCCTCCCCTTCGTGCCTGACACCTGTGGGGCCGGCTCGCCTCATTGCCAGCCGGCTGCCTGGCCAGCCCCGTGCGTACGCGGACTTCCTCTTGCTGACCGGGGACTCCAGGTCCTTGGCCTTCTTCCTGGAACCGTCGTGCTCCAGGCAGGCAGCTTTCCTCTTCATCTGACTTCATTCATTCGACAGATCCTCTTCTCACCAGGGACTCCAGCTTTCCCTGCCTGACGGGGAGCCCTTCGCTCTTCAGCTGAGGCGTGAACGCCACGACTGTGGACATCCCACAGGTGTCCGCATCCGCAGCTCCCAGTCTTGCCCACAAGCCAGTACTTGGTTTCCTTAGGTAACCACGAGGCTATTTCATGGCGGTTTCTGGGGAAATAACTGGACGAGAGGGGATTCTTAATCTCTGACCTGCACACTGGAGGCTAGGAAGCCGGTGGTGAAATGAGTAGAGCAGGTTTGGACCTTTGCTTTGATGATTTCTGTAACCTCCCTCTCCTGGGACCTGTTGGCTTGGTGACTGTCCGTCTGGATGATGATCAGAGGCTGAGGGTGGAACTGTGATTTGAACTCAGCCACGTTCTTTTTTTTTTGAGAAGTTTTTGCTGTAGGGCACATGTGCTCGCCAGAAAGAGAGACAGAGAGACAGACAGAGAGAAATCACCCCAGGGAGGATGGCCACGCTGCAATCCCTTCTCCATTCTCCTCTCAAGATCTTGGAAATGCACGCACTTGCGCCTGGCATGAGTTTAAGCTACCGGGGCTGGGACTCAAACCGCGGTGGACTACATGAGAGTCCACAGACACAGTCATCACACTAACTGCTGGTCACAGTCAGGTTCTTCAGACCAGCTCTGAACAGACCCCCTTCATTTAAGAAAAAAAATTTTTTTACGTTTTTGCCCTAGGGCACGTGAGCTCACCTGAGAGAGACAGAGCGAGGGAAAGTGAGAAATCACCCCCCCAGGGGATGGCCAGGCTGCAGTCCCTTCTCCTGGGATTTTGAGCATGCTTGCACACACGCCTAGTGTGACTTCCAAGCCACCAGGACTCCAACCACAGCACCCCAACCACCATACCACCTGCTGGCCCCTTTAATTTTAATTTTTTAATTTGTTAGCAGGCATATGCACTCACCAGAGAGAGAGAGAACAAATGTTACAAAGCACTCCCTGTTGGGGGTGGTCATGCCGTAATGCCATTCTCCATTTTTCCTTTCAGGATTTTGGAAATGCATGTATAGATGGCTGGCATGTTTTTCTTTTTCTTTTTAAAAATTATTTTATTTAACTTTATTTATTTTAATTTGACCAGAGAGGGACAAAGAGAGAGAGAGAGAGAGAGGGAAAGTAAGAAAGCAAACCGCCAGGTCTAGGACTTGAACCGTGGCTGGCCGTATGGGAATCCAATGCCCTTAAGCACCACACCACCTGCCAGCCCCGCCTGGCATGTTTTTCAAGACATAAGGTCTAGAGGACCAGCAGTTAGCATAATGGCTATGTTGCTGGCCTCCCACGTAGTCGACCGCAGTTTGCGTCCTGGACCTGGTGGCTTAAAACTCATGCTGGGCACGTGTGTGTGCGTGCCCAAGAGCCCGAGAGGAGGAGAATGGAGGAGAAGGGATTGTGGCATAGCCATCCCCTCTGGGGGGTGATTTCTTGCTTTCTGTCTCTCTGTCTCTCTCTGTCTGGCGAGTGCACGCGCCCTATAGCAAAAAAAAAAAAAAAAACACCAAAAACAAGACCTCTTAAAAACAAAAGACATAAGGTCTAGGACTTGAATCACGGTCAGCCACATGGGATCCAGGCACCTCAGCACTGCCACCAGCAGGGCCCAGTCTCCCTTCCTGAGGCTCCTCCTCTGTGCTGCCCTGTCTGTTGTGCATGACCCCCTCATTGCAGGCCTGCTTCTGGCCAGCCCCTGTGGGTATGCGATTTCCTCTTGTGGAGGGAGACTTGGTCCCATGATACTGACCTGTACCGGTTGGTGGGTTGCATTGCAAACGTTCCTTAAGTTTCTGTGTGCAGTATTTTACTGTCTTAAAACAGAAAGTCCTCCCCACTTCCCCAGAGCAGGGGATTCCTTAGTAATCGTTGCTGTTGTTTTTTTTTTTTTGAGAGGTTTTTGCTATAGTGCACGTGCGCTTGCCAGACAGACAGAGAAAGAGAGATAGAAATTGAGAACTCACCCCCCAGGGGGGATGGCCACGCCACAATCTCTTCTCCTCCATTCTCCTCTCGGGATCTTGGGCACGCACGCACACACACCCATTGCTGTTTGTTTTCAAGGCGCGTTCTGACCACAGTGGATTCTGGCTGAATGTTATGGTCTGAGCATCTTTTTTCCTGTTTGACTGGAGGTGGATACGGAGTGGGAGTACCTGTTGTCATTCTGCTGCTTGTATGACACCACAGCTGTATTGAGGCAAGGGGAAGGAATTTCATGGGAAGAAAACCAAAACGGTATGAGGAGGATAAGAAACAAGCCTGGAGCTGCTGGCAGAAAACTTCGGGTGCGACTGGAAGGTTCCAGATGGTGGTTAAGGGCTTGGGCTCCAGAGTCAGCCTAGCTTGACGCCTGGCAGTGTTACTACTTGTGGTTTTGTGACCTGGGAGAAATCTCTTAGTCTCTCCAGTGCGTAGGTTTAATTTTTTCATCTGCTGAAATTGGCTGATAATAGAACCTGTTTGGGATGGTTGTGAAGATTAAATGAGCTAGTCAACCTAAATGTTGGCTGCTGGCCGGGTGAGTGTCTAGAAAGTCGAAGGAGGGTCCAGCAGGTGTCATCGCGGTTCAGGTGCTGGACTACCACAGGGGCAAGCACAGTTCGAGTCCCAGACCTGGCAGCATGCTTTCTCATTTTCCCTATGTCTCTCTCTGATGTGCACACATGCCCAATAGCAAAATAAATAAATAAATAAATAAATAAATAAATAAATAAAAAGTAAAGAATAACAGCATTTTTAAAATGAAAGAGAGAAGGCTGAAGGAATTGCAAGGTAACTCTCACTGGCGGGGGGGGGCGGGGCTGGTCCTTCGTTTCTGACAGATACTGCTCCCTAGCTGAGCTCCCTGAGCCACCCGCATCTACCTCGGCGACTCACTGCTGTGTTACAATAGGAGGCATCTTGGTGTAGGCTGCCCTAGACAAACAGGGACTGTTCCCCGACACTTCCTAGCACGAATGAGGGCAAGGCTGTACACATCTTCATCCTTCACCTCCAACATATTTCTCGAGCAGTTTCCCCTCTCTGGGGCTGCCCGCAGGGAGGACTTTCTTGCTCTGGTGATTTCTCTGATTAGACCAGGGCACAGTGGTAAACATGAGAGACGCTGAACTGAAGAAAAGAAAGCCTATTGACAAGAAGGAGCTCTTGGTGCCAGATTGGCAAGGTCACTTCAAGATTGACCTCTAACAGGAATGACCTGGAGATGGAGCTGGGCAGTCTGGGACCTGAAGTTTATGCAAGTTCTGGGTGTCCTCAAAGAAAAAGGATGCAAAATAGTTTTCTTTCTTTCTTTCTTTTTTTTTTTTTTTAATAATTATTTAACTTTATTTATTTATTTATTTTAATTTGACCAGATTGAGACAGAGTGAGATCAAGAGAGAGAGAAAGTGCGAAAGCAAGCCACCAGGTCCGGGCCTCAAACCACATTCACCCATGTGGGAGTTCAGCGCCCTTAACCACCATGCTTCCTTCTGGTCTTGCAAAATAGCTTTCTTTCATGAATTGTACAAATATGTGAGCATATTGCCAGGGTCCTAAGCTCTAGAATGACATAAATTAGAAATAAGGTATTATTCCTGTTTAAAATGTGTTTCTGGTGGGAACCAGCAGTTAGCGTAATGGCTATGTCGCTGGACTCCCACGTAGTCGACCGCGGTTCGTGTCCCGGACCTGGTGGCTTAAAACTCACGCCGGGCGCGTGTGCGTGCGTGCCCAAGATCCCGAGAGGAGAATGGAGGAGAAGGGATTGCGGCGTGACCATCCCCCCTGGGGGGTGATTTCTTGCTGTCTGTCTCCATGTTTCTTCGT